GGGGAGAAAAAAGGAAGAGAGGAGGACGGGGAGGTAGGAGGGAGCAGAGAAGTAGGGAGGAAGAAGGAGGAAGGAGGACGGGGAAGAGAGGAAAGAAAACGGGGAGGTTGTGGGAGGAAGGGAGGACGAGAAGGGAAGAGGATGGTTGGACTCCAGGGTCCAGGGGTCTCTTGGGTGCATGCTCCCGGGGGAAGGATCCCGTGATGCATTTGTCTCCGGGGCTGCCTTCTTCCACGTTCCATCACGCAGGCTGTCGTCTCTCGTTCCTCGATGGTCGGCTGGACGCCTCTGCGGGTCTCGTCGAGTCGGACCCGCCGTCCAGTGGGCGAGGTTGTGTCGGGATCGTGGCGAGGACGATCGGGGGGGAGGAACGATGGGAAGGCCTCGGATAACGAGGTGGAAGGAGGAAGGTCTTTCCCTCCCGAATGCGCCGGGACGGGTTCGGACGAGGTCTCCCGAATGCGTGGGAGTTTTGGGGTCGGATTCCAGGAGTCATTTCGAAAATGTGGCGATTTGTACGAGAGAAGGCCCTTCGGTTCTAGTGGCTCGTTGAGCGGTGACAGGTGTAATACTCCGAGTGAAAAAATAAATGCCTTCCAAATAGCTACTACTTGTACTCGATGAATGACTTAATTAGGGCTTCCAAGTAATGAGGGACATGAATAAATAAAAAAGCAGTGCATTTTAAGAGGTATTTACCATCTCCTAAACGCGGAGTGCAAGAATTCCTTCCACGCTGGTCTCAAAGGGCATTTTTGCACGGGTCAGAATAATTCCCCCCCGCGAGGTTGACCGAAGAAGAAACGCAACCTGTCAGAACCTGCCCATCTGAAAACTATCAGAGATCCACTGTCTGATATTGGATATCACGTGCAGCTCTTTAAAGTCCCCCATTAAAAAAACGATCATTATTCCTCGGGTGCTCCAGACGGCGAGTGCATTGACGTCATCAAAGGACAGCGAGCGACGAGGAATCTCGTGCAGGACATTTTAGACGTTTCGTTTTCGACGGGAAAAGTGAACCCCAAGGCGCTCCCAACCCGTTCTCCACGTGGAAGAATCCCGCACTTCGGCAGCATTTACCAACGTAAGCAAATCGGGAATGCGCTTACCGCAAGGTAGGCCTTGAAGAGCTCGTTGTCGTGGTCCAGCTCCCGGCAGTAGTGCTGGCACGACGTCTGATCCAAGCAGTACCGCATGTACGGGGCGAACAGGTCCTCCATCTGCAAACAGAGAGCGAAGGTCAGGATCCACGCTTTTGTATTCCTGAGAGGCCGGTGTCGTCGCAGGTACTCGAACGATCGAGTGTCACGCTCCACGGCTCGAGTACTCTCCCGAGCACACACCCGTCTCACAACAGAGGTCGAGAGAAGATTTATATCCGTTCGGCTCTCTAAGTACGATCTCACGGATTCTTCCCTTCCCGTTACGACGACCACCGAAAAAACCAATTTGACCACTTCCCACCCGACCGACCGAACCAAACCCCCAAAACTCCCATCAATTTCCCATCCAACGGCCCGGCAGCGGCCCCCATCGACCCCCATCGACCCCCCAGCGGCTCACCGAGAGAAGCGACGAGCGGAGGTAGAGCGGGTTGAGCGGGGACATGGTGTTCCTCGACGCCTCGATCATGACGTGCAGCCCCTCCCGCCAGAAGCGGTCGTTCGCCTCGTGGATCTCCTCCACGTTCCCGAACAGCCGCTGATTGTCGATCTCCGTGAGGATCCCCACTCGCTGCAGACTCTCCAGGCACCAGCGGAACAACTAGGGGCATGCCACGAGAGATCCATCATGCACTCCCTCGTTAGAATATTCAATGCAGCGTGATTATCATTCCGTCCAAATTTCCTCTCCGACTCCCACCTTCTCGCGCTCCCCTCTCCTCCGTTCTACCCAAGCGTCTAATTAAATTTTTTTTCTTCCAACAAAAAAGTGCATACATCAGTGATGACGCGGATGGTGTTTATATACGCCGCCTCCGTCTGCAACAGCTCCCAGATGGCCGTCTGCTGCTGCCGCTTCCGCTCCGTCTTCACCTCCGTCGCCTCGTTCACCACGTCCCTCCAGTCCTCCTCCAGGGCGTAGAGGCTCTCCCCCGCCACGTCCACTTCCTCCTCCCGCTTCCCCCCGCCCCCGCGATCCAACTCCTTCAAGTGCTCCACCAACTGGTCCATCTTGTCCTTGTCCTTCGACGGCCACGAACGAAAGAGAATCTCGAGATCACGATCGCGCTCACGGTCGGTTTATTCTCGGTATTTAAACGCCCTCGGACCGAAGGAATCGTAGGCGGAAAACAAGGGCTCTGTTGACAAAACTCGAATACGACATGCGATCGCACGGCGATCGATACGGCATGCAGGGTATTTAAATATGGAAATTGGATTTATTGCGAAAAACATGCAAAGTGGAAAGGAGGAGAGAGATATTTTTAGGCCTCACCTTAAAGGAATTGGAGAAGAGGCCACTCCAGCGATTGAGCTGTTTCGCGGATTTGGAGACCTTGAGGGACCCGTCGTTCGAGGCGGGCCCCTCCACAGCGGGGCCAACCGGGGCAAGGACGGAGGAATTCCCCGTCACGCCTGCCCCACCCGCCCCACCTGCCCCACCGCTGGAGCTCACCAACGTCGCATCGTCCGCGCTCGAGTTGAACAGCTTGTTCGTCCCCTTGCGGTAACTCTGCACGAACGAGGAATGGAACATGCCAATCTTCTTCCCCTGTCTGCATTTCCTCATTTATTCAGGGATCATTTTCTATCAAGATCCACGAGTTTTTTCTTCGCCTTCATCAATTATGGCGCATCCAGACTCGCAGTCACAATTACGTTTAATATTCGATTATGTTTTACATACGCTGCACGCGTAATTACATTCATCTCAAGAATAACGAGAATCGATCGCACGGATGTTCATGACGTTCTTGCATTATTCATATCGACATTCATTTGCATCCACCAACCAGCTGATATCACCATCCATTCCCTATCGCACATTTCCCCCCCCCCCCCCGAACCATTCGGGGGAACGATATTTCATAACTTCCATTTTTCCCCCCATTTTACGGTTCTCGACTCACCCCGGAAGAGGACGAGGACGAGGAGGAAGCTTTGAGGAGGGAAGAGGCACTGGAGGCAGATTTCGTGGCCCGGATCACAGGAGTCCTCTCGTCTTTCGCTGCAACACGAAACGCAACGCTGACCACAGCCCAACAGGCACGCGAGAGAGAGCGAGCCCTGCACGGCAACCCTACCTCGGACGCGGAGATGCTTCCCGCCCAGCCGGCTTGCCTCCGTGGTGAGGGCGATCGGGGTCCGCGTATCCCCGTACACCTCCACGTCCTTCATGCCGATCCCACGACGCTCGCACACGCTCCACAGGATCTCCCTACGCGTCAAATAACGGAGAAAAATAAGTAAAAGCGACCAAGCGAGACAAAAATTTAGTACCGAAAGTGAAGAACTGTCGAGTCCCCAAGGCACTCATTCCCTCAAAAATCATATTAGCAACAATCATACAACTGAACGATGGAAAAAAAAACTTCATGAAAAATGAAATTGATGAAACCAAAATCCACGCTAAGAAATCAAAACTGCATGTAAATCCAACAGCATCAGAAATCGACAGAACGCTAAAGCGCAGAAAAGCGGGCAGTCCCCCCACCACCACCAAAGGCGCAAATAAACGCCTAATGAGCTGATATGAGACCCCAAAGCCGTGATGAATCGGAAATCCCAGAGGCCCCTTAATCCACCCTCCATTCAATATTCACCCGCACCCGAGCACGGATCATGCTCTGCCCTGGATACGATCGGATTCCGCGGGATCAATCGGAGTCAGGCCCTCGCGCGGCGAATATGTTCCCGCAGTCTTAATTTTCTGATTTATTCTTCATTCCGGCGAAAGCAAGTAAGAAATGGGAAAGGGGGAGGGGGAATGCATTAGTGAATGGCGTCCACTCTCATTAGGTAAT